CTTGCAGTTATATTTGTATATCTGCAGGTGGCACCATACCAGTATGTTGGAAGGCTTTAGATCTCGATGTATGATCCAGTTACTGCAGGAGGTAAAGGGGGGATAGTTGAGATGAGCCACCGGATTTTCACTAGGGCTTGCCATCGACAGCAGCACATAATACTCCACTTACCTGTGAAGATAGTTGAGGCCGTTGAGCAGTTGCCACAGTAAGGATTTGACAGTGTATGGGTTAATGGAGGAGCTCAGCTTCTCCCTGTGATGCCTGATAATCTCCTGCGGTTTGTTTGGTTGGTTTGGTTAATCAATTAGGTATAGGACTCAAAAAATGAAGAGAAGATGAATTGAAAACACCATCACATACATAGAGGTCGTGCTCTGCGTAATCGAATGCGAGGTATAGGGACATGTCAGCGTGGTTGATGTGCACATTGACGAGCTTGACGACATTCTCGTGGTTGATCTCGCGCAGGAGCTGGCAAGGAACCAGGTATATTAGGCTAGGGTTTGGTGCTCCAGCCCCAGAGGGCCGATAGGATGGAAAGCGTACAGGAGTAAGAAGCAAAGCAAAGGGAAAAACAGACCATGATCTCTCTAATTGCGGTGGGTGATACGCCGTCCCCCTCCTTGGACTGCTTGAACTTCTTGATGGCGATAGGGGGGCCGCGGCGACCGGGCGCCGGGTGGGACGGCTTGAGGCGCGCGAGGAAGACGAGGCCGTAGGTCCCCTCACCGATCTTGCCAATCAGCTCGTACTGCTGCAGCCACGCCGGACGGTTGGCGCCGCCCGCGCGCCCGTCCCCCATCCCCGTCGCCGCGCCGGCCAGCCGCCGCAGCTGAAAGTCCTCGACGTCGTCGTCTTCTCCGACGCCGTGGTGGCGGCCAGCTTCCCTTGAGTTGTTGGACCAACGGCAAGAATGCTCCTAACATATCTGCTCGCGGTTGTGTGGACCAAGATTATAGTTAGGCCCAAAGAGAATGACGGCCCAGTCCACATAGGACTAGGCCCACGCAAGGTCTTCTTCCCTTCCTGCAGTCCTTCTGTGCTAAGGGAAGACTCATCAAAGTAGTGCTCAAAAAAAAAATCAAAGTTCTGAAAGAGTGTGCTGTGTGTTATCCATTTCTTCTCTGCTCTGCTCCCATCTCTCTAGTGGGGAGCGCCGCCGCCGCTGCCGCCGCCACCAGAGCAGCCCAGTTCGGTCCCATTCGGTAGATATGGCGACCGGGAGTGCCAGTGCCACGGCGTCCCTCTCCGTGGCGGCGGCAGCGGCTGCTGCTCTGCGCGTCAGGCGGCCATGCGTTCGCTCTCGCGCTTGGGCCCCCTCGCAGCGGCCGCAAAAAGGGGCAGTCCTCAGCCTCAAGCCTTGCGCCTCACTGGCACCACACGCTCCTCTGTGGCGGGCGGAGTCGGATGCCGCAGGCGGTGGTGCCGGCGCCGGCGACGTCATGGGCCTCCTCCTCCGGGAGCGCATAGTCTTCCTCGGCAACGAGATCGAGGACTTCCTCGCGGACGCCGTTGTCAGCCAGCTCCTCCTCCTCGACGCCATCGATCCGGACTCTGACATCCGCCTCTTCGTGAACTCACCAGGGGGGTCCCTCAGGTAAAGGTCCTATCTTCCTTCCCTTACTTACAACAGAGTTCCATTTCAATCCTCCTTATCTTTAATCCATTCATTCATCACCATGGACTACTCTTAATTTGTGTGCCTACTTCACTTCGAAATCTAACTCAAGGACTACACTTGTGACCACGCTTGCTGCCTTTCAGCGTACAAATGTTAACTCAATCCTCAAATTTATCTTTGCAATGTACGAACTTTAACTGAATTGGTGAATCATGAAATTTATTATCTAACCCAATCCAGTAACCCTGAACTTTTCATTCTTTCAATGACAACTGAAAAGGGATAACATGTAGGCATCTCGATTCTATATGTGATAGCCACAAATCGCAGTCAAATTCATTTCCACGGGCTGACTTCGGGTCTTAGGATTCTCATGTATAGGATATTAGGATATAATGAAGGGCAGGCCTGGTGCAGTGGTGAGAGCTGTCTCACTGAGTCACCAGGTCGTGGGTTCGAAGCAGCCTCTCCGCAGATTTTGCGGGGGGAAGGCTTGCCTCGGTTTTTCCCTTCCCCAGACCCCACTCATGTGGGAGCCTCCGGCACTAGGTCTGCCCTTTTTTTTAGGATATTAGGATATAGGCACAATAGATTGACAACTTTTGTTCGTCATGATTCATGTTGTGGACTAATTGATCCAAGCCTATACAAACCATAACCCTATCAGGGTCAACATATTCTTCTGATGTCTGCAGTCATCACAGTTTTTGGTGCATCCTTGCAGCACTGAGTGGCTGGCTAGTTGATCCTGTTGCTGAGAATTCTTCAATTCCTACAAATATTATTTGTTCACTATATGTTCCTTTCCTTCAGATATCTCCAATCATAGATGAAAATCATGTCTGCAACTGCATCTAGATTGCTCTGAATCAGTTTAATTAGTCTTTTCCTTAAGTTATAAATTCCTGAAGCAGCAATGCCTTTTACTGGAATTCCAAGGGAGAAGACTATTTGTTTTTATCATTGAACTATTGTCGGAGTTTGATTTTGGCCATGAGCGACCAGAAATCTTTGACCATCCAGCTATCAAAACCATTCACATATGGACATCCAGCAGTTTTGATGGTGGTTTTCTCTTGCGTGGACAACATGCTCCCCTCTCCATGCTCTCTCTTAATGCCGCAGTTGTCCCCCTCTTCTCTATCTCTCCACCGTGGCCCTCTCTATCAACGCTGCTGCTTCGGGTTGACCCGTCCACCACGGCCACCAGCGTGCCCACCGCATGCTCGTCTACGCGTTTGGACATGGCGCGCACTAGCACCTTCACCGCCTCCAATGCCGATGACCACGGCATTGCGGCCGCCCTTGGCATGGTATAGCCGCTCCACGGCCGCCAGCGCATTCTCAGGCTCCCCTGTACCGCCCTCCGCCACGCACCGGGACAGCGTTGCCCCCCAAACCGCGATTGGGGGCAGGTCCAAACCGACATAACTAGGCTTAGAAGAGGGGTCGAGATGGTCTTTGGGGCACAAGTAAGCTCATCCTAGGCTCAAATTCAATGGAGAAGCAGTAGAGGCAGCTGGCCATGGTGATGCCTAGCGGCGGCGCAGCACCGAGGATAGGAACAGCGAGGGCAGCCGTGCCTAGGCTTAAAGAAGCGGTTGGGAAGAACCGTGGCCTTGCACCAGAGCTCATCATGGGGTCAGCGGGGGAAGAAGAGCACCCGAGATGACAGTGGAGAGAGAGGAGAGAACTGTGACGTGGAGAGAGACAACATGTAGAGGAGGGAGAGAGGGAGGAGAGGGTCTAACATATGGGCCCCACTTTGGCATGTCGTCCATGTAAGCGAAAACCACCTTCAAAAATGCTGGATGGCTAGACATGAATGGTTTTGATAGTTGGATGGTTAAAGATTTATGGTTTTGGAGTTTCATGGCCAAACTCGAACTCTGGTGATAGTTCGATGGTCAAAAATGGACTTCTTCCAAATTCCAAACCTATACTACTCTAGACCTTATATGCACTATCAAAATCTAGTTATAACCGCTGCAGAACTTTTTAAAGGAACAAAGTAATTAGGCTGCAACACCTGTGTTCTGAGTTATCTAACTGGTATCATGCCTCATTGGTGATTGCTTATTCTGTCACATTATTTGCCTAAATGGGAACATGTTGTACTTGTCCATCGTGAATTATAATTGTCTGAGCAGATCATCAAGCCTTTTGCTCATCATAGAAATGTTAATACAAAATCCTGTCATTTGCTGACTGACTGTTTTGTTACTCTTTCAGTGCAACAATGGCCATCTATGATGTAATGCAGCTTGTGAGGGCGGATGTCTCCACTATTGGAATGGGCATAGCTGGGTCAACAGCTTCTATAATCCTTGGTGGTGGCACGAAGGGCAAGCGATTTGCCATGCCCAACACCAGGATTATGATCCATCAGCCTGTCGGAGGTGCAAGTGGGCAGGCCCTAGATGTAGAGGTCCAAGCAAAGGAGATATTAACCAACAAGAGGAATGTCATTCGGATCGTATCAGGCTTCACGGGCCGCACTCCGGAGCAGGTAGAGAAAGACATTGACAGAGATCGTTACATGGGCCCTCTTGAGGCCGTCGATTATGGACTTATTGATGGTGTGATCGATGGAGACAGTATCATCCCACTTGAGCCTGTCCTGGAGAGGGTGAAGCCTAAGTATAACTATGAAGAGTTGTACAAGGATCCGCAGAAGTTTCTTACACCAGATGTCCCAGATGATGAGATATACTAGTCTAAAAATTGTATTTTATGCGAATCTTGAGTCAGTTCTTCTGCAAGCAGTTGCTTTTGATCGCCTGTAGCTGTCAAACAAATCCTAGCACTAGCTGTAGCTTATTGATCTGGTTTACTGCCTGATTTACTGACTGAATGTTGATTCGAGCAGCAACTAGAACCTGTTGGTTGTGGTTGCCATCGCACATGTGTTCTGGTGTTATTGAGGGTTAGAATGGTCTGGCTGTTTCGTTTTGATGTCTGACCATTTCAGGTGTGGCACGTTGAGATCGGCCAACTGTTTGGTTTTTTACCACCAGCACAAGCTTCTGCATCCATTTCGAAACATTTTCTTTGTGATGAAGATAGGTCTTATCAAAGTATAGCGAATATATAACTGTAAAGTTAGTATCGCATGCAATGATGACAGCCTCTTAGGACATGTGTCTTCCCAGAGAGATTTCAAAGGAGAGTTCAAAAGTTCTAAGCAAAAAATGTTCTCGAATTTATTCGCTGCCATGTGCCCTCCAAAACAGAATGAAGAGTTTGCCGTAACAAGTATTTCTTTCTTAAACTCAAAGGTACAGTAATGAATACAACAATCAGCTTGTTAACAAGAAAAAAAAGAATACAACAATCAGCGATGCTGATATAATCGTAATGAAGCAATTCCTGTCATCAATTGAAAGCAGAAACAGCAGGGACAAGAACTGCTGGGGCACCTGCACCTACGGTGCTTTCAACTCTGAGGGAAAGCGGATCCCAAAACTGAACACTGTGGTTCCCGCTTTTCAGACTCATTGGTGCTTTGATGCAGTCAGCAGCAGCATCACCATGGCTCTCTCTTGCTAACTTTGCTGCCGCGGCCCTCTTCAATCTGATACATTCAGCTCTTGACCCGATTGTCTGACCCAGTATTGAGGCGGCTATAGTAAGGGCCATGGCTGTCTTCGGCATCAGCACAGATTTCCTGAGCATCCCTATGAAAGGCACTGCTGCATGCACTGCAGCAAACCACTGCACTGAAAACTTCTTTGTGTGCTCCCTCCAGATGCCGAGAGGAACATTTGCTGCCATACCAAGCAATGCAATCACCAGTATTTTTGTTGGCAGGGGCTGAGGGCGAAGGCCCTTTGCAAATGCTGTGCGGGATAGTGCTGCGCGGGCAGCAATCACTGCAGGTGGGCACTTCAGTTTCATACCAGCTGGGGGTGTCATCATCTTTGCTACAAGTGGCACAACACCGCTTAATGCCCTATAAGACTTTGCAAGTGGACATTGGCCCGTTTCCAGCCACTCGTTACTCAGTGCTTCATGATTGTTAGACTGGCCTTTATTCTGAAATTCCAGGGAAAGCAAAATCAGACAACTGAATGGCATGCTCCCTCACAAAAGAACATGGTAAAGTTTTTAACCATTTAGTGTTACCACTTTGAAGGATGGTTCAGATACATTGCATGAAATGTGTCTACTTCTACCAAATAAATTACTTTCTTTGGTGATGAAAAAGATACACTGGAGAAAAGAAATATTGAGAAGCATAGTTAGCACAAATTACCTGGGGGAGGTTGTTGGGGTTCTTTTTGTTGGACTTTTTCCTATTGTGCTTATTTGAGAAGTCACCAAAGCTGAAAAACCCTCCAAATGCAGATAGACTGATGGTTGCTGCTTTGGCCGCCAATGGATTGAACTCAGGATTGGGCTTTGGCAGTGGCTTCTCAATCTGGGCCAATGATCCTTCTGAAAGCGGGACAACCCCATCTCTACCATGGAAAACTCGAAATGCCATGTCAAAATTAGGCCCATCTTCGAAAATTGGCCCCTTGGCTCCTCTTGCCTTCACAAGCAGCAAACAACACATTTAGTGATCGCATCCAAAACATCGATGATCTTCAGAAATGGATGGTGTGGTAATGTAAAGAGGAGCGGGAAGTAAAGGGCATACCGGAACAGGGAAGTTCACAGATGAGAAGGAAAAACTTGTAGGCTCATTGATGTTCCTGAGGAATGGGCATCTTTCAATTCCTTGTTGGACGACAGTTTCTTCCAAGCACATAGGCTCATTGAGAGCTCTTCTAAAAGCTGAATCCATATGGAGGCCACCGGCTAGTCGACCTGCAAATGTGGAAATGTTGAGAGCGCAATTTGAGCAAAGAAATTATATGTGTCATAACAAATCATAGCACCAACTGTCTCCTATCATCATGTGTAAAGTCAACTCTAGACTAGATCAATGGTATGCTCGAATAGAAAAGATGGTGTGAACTCTGAAGCCGAATGCTGACAGGCAAAGCTAGCTGGGCAAGCCTAAACGTGAGAGCCTTTTGTTTTGTGGCTCCGTTTCAAGTGTGAACCAGTTGAGTATTAGCTGTATTCCAGCAAACAACTCGGTAGCCCATGTCAATTGTTGACCTGCCTGCCTACCTAACAGCACTAGAGCAGTTGGTTAGCACATGAGCGCAGGCCGGCCTGACCTGCCGTGCAATTGTGCAAAAAGCACCCAAATTTGCCTCCCAGGACGACTGTTTGTTATCGAAATATTTGAAAGAAGATTGTGATCGCCGCGCCGCTGCCGATGACGTTGACCAAAAAAATGGCTACAAAATCAGGAGGAGATGCTGCTCATGATTCGATTAGATCGGAAATCGGCCCTCTAGTTGCAATTAGAATGCAAAATACTTGGCGTGAGTCGAATCGTTCGTTAAGGGTCCTAACGAATTCCTTAACCCTGCACAAGTTGGAAGCATCCGCCTTGCATCGAGTCCTCCCCCGAGAGAGGAGCAATCCGTCCACATGTACATCCTAATTCCTAATCCAGTAATCCTAGCAGGCGGGAAATCCAGGAGGAAAAAAGAGAAGTCTCACCTCCGATTCGAAGCGAAGCGAAGCGAAGAGCAGGCGACGGAGATCTTCTTGTCCTGGCTGGCTGGCTGGGTGGGGGGTTGCGCCGCGTGTGGCGAGCACAGGGACAGGCAACAGGCGAGAAGAAGAGAAGAGAGGTGTGGATGCGCCGGAGATGAGGAAAGGAGGCCGAGACCGAGACCGAGACCAAGTGTAGTTGGTTGCGGGGTGGGTGGGTGGCTCGTTGTTGCATTTGCGTTGCCGTATCAGTTGTTGGTTTGACTCTGACCCGGCCTGCACCCTGCACCTGCACAGCACCAACGCGCACGCACGCTTTCCACGCGCCCCAGCCCCGCGTCGCACTCGAACATGGGAAGCGCTACTTCTTTCGTCATTCCGTGCGTTGACACGATCAAGAAACCAAGAGATGGGATATTCAATTTATTAGCATCCTATCAAATGGCCCATAAAAAGCCACTCATATTTGTACAAATTTGCCACTTAAAAAAAACTTCTTACATTCTTGCTAATTTCGTTCACTTTCTCGTGCGTGGTTTCACGTGTCACCATGCAAACGTAAAGGGCACATGCGAAAAGATGTGACAACCTCTCTCTTATATCCATTTATCCTTGTGTCCCTCTTCTCCCTCCCATGATCCGTCTGAGCACCTCCTCTCGGATAGGAGCAAAGAAACAAACTCACGAGTACGAACACTGCCTCGGGATGGGCCCTGAGAGGTTGTTCATGGACAGGTCGAGGAACACTAGGTCGGCTGGAGTGCCGGGGCTAGCAGCGGTGGCACCGTCACCATCACCAAAAGCCTCTCCGAGGGTGCCATGCATTGCGTTGATGGCCATGAAGCAGTAGTGCAGCATCGGCGATAACGGCTGGAGTGCGTCGGTGAGGATGTTCCGGGCGAGGTCAACATGGAACAACCCTAAGTTCGCAAGCCACGTAGGGATAGCTCTCACAAGAGAGATCCCTGTTTGTTGGAATTGGAGCATGGTGGAGAAGATGATGACCACAAGATGCAAGTGCTCAACATGAAATTGGAGCCATTGGAAGGAGTTCAAAGCAAAGGCTTGGCAATGGGATAATATAGGTTCTTTGTTTTTTATCGGCCAAAGTGCAATAGAGTGCACAACTGGGTTTAAAATAGGTAGTCCTATTATTAAGAGAACTTTAAAGCTAGGATGGTTGTCTAGTGCCACTAGTTGAGAACTAACATCACATGTGTTATAGCTAGTGACGTGGTAAGGAAGCGCAAGATAATGCTTTGAAAATACTAACTCAGTATCACATTTTACTGGAAAAACATAGGAATAAGAATTTTTTTCCTCATGTTCAGAAGAGGCTCTTACGAGCTTATAACTCTGTAGCGCATACTTTAAGTAGCATTGGCTTAAGCTATAAATTCTAAGTCTCCCTTTAGAACGTGGGATTTTTTTTCATGTTTCTATGCTTTTTTCTGTGAAAAATAAATTTCTATATAATTGCTGGAAAATTCATGCGTTCCAAGGGTCTCAAACTTTTTGTCTTACGAGCTTATAACTCTATGTTTCTATCTACACTCTACAGCGAGGGCCTGGACTATGTGATTATGTGGAAAAAAAAAATGCGGGATGTTAGTTTGGGAAAAAGAAAACTAGCTGTTCGGCCCAAGGCACGGGTTGACTGTGCTGCAGTCCAGTCCAATTAGGAGCCGTACTCGGCTCGATACTAGGTAGGAGCGTGGGCTTCCTTGGAGGCCTTTTCCTCTGCTTGCAGCACTGTCGCGGTCTGGCGACTACTCGTGCAGCAGGAGTACGTGATACGTTGGCTGTTGGCTCCCCATCTATCACATGGGATATTGGGATGGAAGTATATACGTACTCACGCTCGCTTGAGAGAAAATACGGCATTTGATGATACGCGTGCTCCTTCGTGCAATCCTGCGAGTGCATGCGCCATGTCGAGTATGAATACATGATGACCCTAATAAATGAGAGCGCGCGCGCGATATATATATATATATATATATATATATATATATATATATATATATATATATATATATATATATATATATATATATATATATATATATATATATATATATTCTGTGGTCATTTTAAGTTACGATAATTACTATACTAATTTACAGATTATGATAACTTCCTCATAAATGATTTACTATAGCATTATGGTAAGTATTATCTTAAATTATAGTAACCCATGTACCGTAAATATGTATTGTCATTATCGTAAATTGGTACAAACATTATCGTAAATCAAGGTGACCATAGAATAAGTAACTCTGTGGCCAGCTGCAGAATAGCCTTTTATATATATATATATATATATATATATATATATATATATATATATATATATATATATATATATATATATATATATATATATATATATATATATATATATATATATATGGAGAGTATATTAAGTAGCCAGCTACAAAATAAGTTATTCCGTAGCCACCTCCATTTACGATTATTTTATATACTAATTTACGTTAATATCAATATATATTTACGATAGTTGGGTTACTATAACACACGGAGATATTTACTATAACGTTACAGTAAACCACTTAGTATAGAGTTACTATAATCTCGTAAATTAACATAGTAATTATTGTAACTCAAAGTGGCCGCAGAATAAGTTATTTTGTAGCCAGCTACAGGGTGGTAGTTCTCTCTCTCTCTCTCTCTATCTATATATATATATATATATATATATATATATTATATGCCATGTTTGTTTGTCTTGTAATCCGTACTTTTCAGCTTGTTTTTTCAACCGGAACAATATTTTTCTCTCACAACAAATTAAGCAGAACAGTATTTTGACTTATTTTTTCAGAAAAAAAACGAATGGGGCCTAACGTTGAAAGGCGAAGAAAATTTTGCAATCCCACTATCCCAGTGATCCGAGCGCCATAGCTAGCATGGAGGGCGACAGCTTACCTTGCGGCGCAGGCGTGGGGCCGGGATTTTATTTGAAGACTAGAGTATCTAATCTATCTAGGCCATGTTTAGTTCCTACCGATTTCAAATTTTGGCACTACGTAAAAAGAAGATTCTCCGTCACATCAAACTTGCGGTATATGTATGGAGTACTAAATATTGACGAAATCAAAAACTAATTGCACAGTTTGGTTGTACTTTGCGAGACGAACGTTTTAAGCCTAATTAGTCAACGATTGGACAATTATTACCAAATAAAAACAAAACAATACTGTAGCTAGTGTTGGTACAGTGATTCGGCCGGCGCCAATTCGGCCGAACTAAACGCGGCCTAGCTCTCATGAATGTCCCTCGTGACGAAACGATGCAGACTCGCAGAGGGTGAGATCTCAGATCTCAAGCCACGCGGCCACCGACAGATTGATGGGTTTGCATGCATGCACGCAGGTGCATAGTCGTGCAGAGGATCCATTCCAGGTAGAAGTAGAGGCACAGAAGCGCTCCACTCCAATGGACGACGGTGCTTGACAGACGACGCTACGCTGCATCGCTCCAATCAGAGGTCACGTGCTCCCCTTTTCGGCGCGTGCCTGTGGCCTGTGGCCTGTGGTCTGTGTGCGTGGCGTCGTCGTTCTCCCTCCGGCCTCCGCCAATGCGCACATGGACTGCAATAGAGTTCAGAGTTACGGACGAGGGGCGGCAGGTGGTCACGAGCACGCACAATTGCTCAGTCTCAGTGTCCTCGCTCCTCACGGTACAGCAGGAGACCTACCTGCTGTTGACTTGCATTGCCCTCGAAATCAGTCGATCCAGTGCTCCACCGACCCAAGGCGTTGTAGTAGGACTCCGCTACTCCAGACGACCTATTCTGGCCTCCAGCTCGAGCAGGGCATCATCCATCTTACTATGCGCGTCCTGTGTCCATGTCTCCATAGTCCATTCTAGTACTCTATATTGATTCCTCTCTGTCTTTTTTTTTTTGGCTTTACACTAATCTGCAGGCTTCAGTTTTCTGTCCCTCTCATGTGGTTTATTTCCAGCAGTGATATATATACTCCCCGTATAAAATGGTACTTAGCATCGGGATGGAGGGAGGAAAGGATTGATCAAATGTGCCAAACATTACCAATTGGATGGAGTACAATCTCCATGCTCTAAATTAACAAGAAGAATAAAAGTCACGGATCTAGCAATGGAATGGAATGGAACTAGATACTCCATCTCTCTGTCTCGTTATTATTATATATATGCACGCATGTGCCATGCATGTTTTGTATTCACATAAGCAATAAGAGGACCTCAATCAATTGAAGTATCGGTTGTTGTCAGTTGTCACGTACACGATCGATAAATGGTCCTGGTGGACCGACATATCCATGCATGCATGAACACAGTCTGCCAGCCAAATTATGTCAAGTGAATGGGAACCTTTGGCTAATCTTACTGGTGTGTGTGTGTGTGTGTGTTTATTTCTAGAAATGCCACATCAGTTTTATATGTTTTAGTTGATGAATAAATAGTCTCGTTTTGCTAGGAGGGCTGAGCTGAAACTAAATTATCTCTATCCATCCTAGTGCGCCAATGACACACTGTGTACCTCAAACTTCTTCTTAATACAAAGATATGCAAACTTTTTGTGTATTCGAGGAAAAAAATGTATAGTTCTAAAAAATCCATTCCTTTGCTTTTTTTTTTTTGGAAATCCTCCATTCCAAACAAGGCCTACATTTTTTTTTGGCTTGATTTGCTAGGGTGTGAGCTACTGAGCCATGGGGTTCTGGCTTCTTGAGATTTTTGTAGGTCCGGTAGGCAGCCTCTAAGTTGAGGGATTTGAACTCTTCCAGCAATGGAACTATGGAAGTAGGTCTCCAATGTGGCACTTGCTTAAGTTGGCTCCACCTGACTGAGGAAGGTTACCAGCGTTTGGTTGCCAAAGAAATAGTTGATCATTGTATGGTGCAGAGAATTTGCCAAGTAAAAGGGCTTCTGCTTCGAGTGCAGAGAAGGTTCCCACTTTGGCTCTAACGTCTGACGTATATTGCCCGAGGCGGTTGAACCTAGAAACTCTCGTTGAGACTCACCTAGGGTGCGTGGCTGGCACTAAATGTGATCAATGTTTTGTTTATGAAAGTCACGATAGTGTTGAGCAGTTGATCTGCGAAATTAAAAAGCAGACAGTTCACCCTGCTAAACTGTAACGTACTGTACGTGAAGACCTGATGGAGTCGGGCAGTGGTTGCACAAGATTAGATGTCCTTAGCTGTACCTTGCATTGATTAGTGTACATCTGCATTTGTAATTGTATATTTAGATTATTAATCCGTAGGAGTAGATTATGTAGGACGAGCACTTGTGAACTGCGCGTCAAATCAAAGTCAAAGGAAGTCACCGCGTCAGTTGGTGCCGCACTCACTTATCCCCACCATGATTGGCACCAGTAGCTACGAGACGTTGAAGCTGGTTGAGCTGATCAGTCAGCCAGTCACCGCACTCCCACTCCCATCAGTGTAGTGAGTGCAACCGGCCGAACCCGGGGCAGTGGCAGGCACCCTGCACTGATGGACTGGCAGTGAGTGTACCGGTACCAAACTACCCTAACTCCAGTAGACCAGTACTAAAGCACTAGTGTACTGTAGGAGTATAGCAATAGCAAGGACCAAACGGAAGGGCGTACTCTAGCGAAAGGAGAGAAAGGCTAAAAAAAGGGACGACAGCAACCGAATAGCATGGGCGTCGGACGCGCCCGAGGAACGTTTCGTTTCGACGCTAGCCGCTGGTGCTTTGCTGGACTCGTCGGGATTCAGCAAATCAGCAGTAAATGGCCCGTGATCTGGCCCAGGAATTAGGCGGTGAGGCAGGTTTTTAAAATGATAAAAATGATTCCTCAATATAGAGTTCCGTCCTGTTCGTTTGGCTGAAAGTACTGTTGACTGATTTATTGTGAGAGAAAAATATTATTCGTTGGTTGAAAAAGTACGGTTTATAAGTCAAGCGAACAGGGTGTTCAATCTTGGACCTCCGACCTTGGACCAGTCATCAAACAAGAACTAAGGATCTATCTATTTGAATCAACTAAAATAAGTTAGTAGCTGAGACTAAAAATTAATCTGAATTAGTTAGAGACCCGCTAGACGGTTAACAACTAGTTAGAAACTTAGCTAACAAATTAGCTTACTTAACAATTAATACTATACCCTAAATCGGTAGTTCTTGGGCGGATGAGAAGGTTGCGGACGCGGGTACGAGAGAACTCCACCAATGGCAAAGGGATGCGCCGGTTTTCTTTCCCAAAAAAGCGCGCCGCCCTTTTCACCGTAGCATGGATGGACCCATATTCGGGCGGAGGTGGGAAGGCGTCCCCGCGTCGGGTCCGGGGTCCCCTCCCTCCCTGAAACCGATCTGGATGGAAGGACCGACGCGTCGGCCTCGGCCAGCCAAGTCGCACGCACCTGCGATTGTGGACCCGCCCATCGGGGGCAAGGGCACTAGCAATTGCGGGTTGTGGGGAGTGCCCGCGCGCCGAACCAACCAGTAAAAGAGTAATAGTACTAGCGTCCAGTCCAGGCAGTCCGGCCGATGACCACTGCCTGTGCCTGCCGCCGTCCGTTTCGCTCGCCACCATTTCTTCCCTTCCCGGTCCCCTCGCTGTTTCCTGGCTTTAAATCTCTCGCTCGCTACTGATCGATCGAATCAGCGCAGAATCCACTCGATCCATCGTTGCCCTGTTCATTTCCTTCGGTTACTAGTATATCCCTTCGTTTCCGCTAGGTTTGTTACTCTACTCCCGTCCGTCGTCTCCGCCTCCGTCGCAGGTAGCGGCGCCTTGATTTTGACCGCATCATTCGCGGATCGCGCGCCGCCCACAGCCTCCTCCTCCTCCTCTTCCTCGTCTGGTCGTTGATTAAACAAAAGGTGAAAGAAAGAACGACAAGATCTGCGGTACGGCGGTGCCAGCCGACATCCACCCACTGTGCTGTTCCAGCGCAGCGCGGCTAACACTCTGCTCCTACTCGTATATAGGCACGACTCCCGCTGGCCGCTGCCGTCGGTGCCAGGTCGTCGTCGTCCTCCTCCAGCTACTAGTACCAGCTCACTCCAGTGTCCACTCCACTGCCATCCCATCCAAAGGTAAACGCGTCAACGCGACCAGCTCACCTCGTCTCATCATCTTCTTCTCTTTCGTTGGATTGCATAATTAACTGCATATCATATTTGCATGCATCTCGGATGTCCGTCCCCTTTGCCTTTTTTTTTTCTTTCGTAAAGTTTAATTTCTCCTCGTGTTGCAGTTGCAGTGCTCGACGACGGAGAGAGTGGCGTGGCGACTGGCGACATGAAGTACAGCAAGGAAGATAAGCCCGAGAGGGCGGGCGGCGCCGGCGCAGGGTCCAGGGCGGTGCCGGTGACGCTCGTCGTCATCGTGCTCTGCGCCTTCTCCTTCTACCTCGGCGGCATCTACAGCACGGGGCGGAGCCTCCTGGACGCCATCCAGCCGGCGCCGACGGCTCTCGTCACCCTCGGCGCCGGCACCACGGCCCGCCATTCCTCCGACGACGACCAAGCTCGGCCAGCACTGGCAGCCGCGTCCACGGCCGCCGTGGCGTTCCCCGAGTGCCCCGCCGACCTGCAGGACTACACCCCCTGCACCGACCCCAAGCGGTGGCGGAGTTACGGCAACTACCGCCTGAGCTTCATGGAGCGGCACTGCCCGCCGCCGCCCGACCGGCAGCAGTGCCTCGTGCCGCCGCCCAAGGGGTACAAGCCGCCCATCCGGTGGCCCAAGAGCAAGGACCAGTGCTGGTACCGGAACGTCCCCTACGACTGGATCAACAGCCAGAAGTCCAACCAGCACTGGCTCGTCAAGGAAGGCGACCGCTTCCGCTTCCCCGGCGGCGGCACCATGTTCCCCAACGGCGTCGGCGCGTACGTGGACCTCATGCAGGGCCTGGTCCCGGGCATGCGCGACGGCACCGTGCGCACCGCGCTCGACACCGGCTGCGGCGTCGCCAGCTGGGGCGGCGACCTGCTGGGCCGCGGCATCCTCACCGTCTCGCTCGCCCCCCGGGACAACCACGAGGCCCAGGTGCAGTTCGCGCTGGAGCGCGGCATCCCGGCCATCCTCGGCATCATCTCCACGCAGCGCCTGCCGTTCCCGTCCGCCGCCTTCGACATGGCGCACTGCTCCCGGTGCCTCATCCCCTGGACCGAGTTCGGCGGCCTCTACCTCCTGGAGATCCACCGCGTCCTCCGCCCGGGAGGGTTCTGGGTGCTCTCCGGCCCGCCCATCAACTACGAGAACCGGTGGCACGGCTGGAACACCACCGCGCAGGCGCAGAAGGCCGACTTCGACAGGCTCAAGAAGATGCTGGCCAGCATGTGCTTCAAGCTCTACAACATGAAGGGCGACATCGCCGTGTGGCAGAAGTCCCCCGACGCCACCGCCTGCTACGACAAGCTCACCCCGATCACCACGCCCGCCAAGTGCGACGACAGCGTCGACCCCGACGCCGCCTGGTACGTGCCCATGCGCTCCTGCGTCACGCCCCCAAGCGCCAAGTACAAGAAGCTGGGGCTCAACGCCACGCCCAAGTGGCCCCAGAGGCTCACCGTCGCGCCGGAGCGCATCAACGTCGTCCCGGGCAGCAGCGCCGCCGCCTTCAAGCAGGACGACGCCAGGTGGAAGCTCAGGGCCAAGCACTACAAGACGCTGCTGCCGGCGCTGGGGAGCGACAAGATCAGGAACGTCATGGACATGAACACCGTGTACGGAGGCTTCGCAGGCAGCCTCATCAAGGACCCCGTCTGGGTCATGAACGTCGTCTCCTCCTACGGGCCAAACTCCCTCGGCGTCGTCTACGACAGAGGGCTCATCGGCGTCAACCACGACTGGTAACGATTCCGGCCGGCCGGCCTCTTTGATTGGTTGGATTCATAGTTCTCAGAATGCACTTACTATTACAGTATAAGTAATCACGGATGATATATATAATCTTTGCAGGTGTGAGGCGTTCTCGACATATCCACGCACCTATGATCTATTGCATCTTGATGACCTGTTCACGGCAGAGTCTCACAGGTAAGAAGAAACAAACTCAACTTCTCAACTCTATAATTGAAAATTCAAAATTCAGAGAAAAGATCTGCTTTTCCAATAGCAGGTGCGAGATGAAGTACGTGCTCCTTGAGATGGACCGTATCCTTCGTCCCACGGGTTACGCCATAATCCGGGAGAGCACCTACTTCCTTGATTCTGTGGCACACATTGCCAAAGGAATGAGATGGAGCTGCGAGAAGCATAACACCGAGAACAAGGCTGACAAGGACAAGATCCTCATCTGCCAGAAAAAGCTTTGGGCAGGAAAGCAGTGATGACAAGATCACAAGAGGATCATCCAGGTATAAACTATGAAAAGTAAGTAGCCTTAACCTGGATGGATGATGCGTAAATCTGCTGCTCAAGGGCATCCAGAGCTCAAATGTACGTGCTGTAGTCTCGGCCAACAAGGCAGAGGCGCTACACCGTTCAGTACACATGGAAGATGAACAAGTACTCTGATACAATGCAAGAAGGTTCACAATTATCAAAATAAAATAAGCTGAGTAAAACTCCATATAGGATCCAATAGTTAGTACTATTTGTCATTAATCACACAGTTAATTCTTTTTTGTACGAAAAAGTTAGGGGTGGGTCGATTCATACCATGATGAGCAAGCAACTGTAAGTTACTCCACACTGCATGTGTTCATTTGTACGACATATATATAGGTTGGTTGGTGCTGTCGTTGTAATTGTAATAATTGTAATAGCGGGCCACTTATTTATTTAACACTTTTGTGGATTCAATATACGAATATTGATGTCTGAAAGCGACGGATTTTGTTGAATGTTGCTATCAGTTGACGTCACAATGCATATACTTGAGCAAGCAATTCCTCAGAAATTGAAATAGAACAGAAACGAAAAAGAAAAAGGAATCGATAATGCAATGTAGCCAAAGGGGGCAAAAAATGGGAAGAGGAAACACTGAGTACTGACTGTCAAACACTGAAACACTGCACCAGCATCATCGTCACTTGCTCTACTTCGCCACACCTTTGACAGCATTCACCGTCTCTCTTTAATTTCTGTCTGTCACTAGCATAGCATGACATCTGAGAATGACCATCCGGTCCATCCCTACAAAGAGGGCACTAAAATGAGCAAAACAGACCGAATCAGTGAATCAAACGACTCATGTCTAGATTAGAGCAGCATTTGGCTTAGAGGAAACCTTTCCTTGGATAACAAGAGCGAGTCTGCATTCTACAGACAGCAAGGCAGAATAATTGGATAAATAATTTATATGAAAAACACGCCTGGATCATTCTTGAGAACTTAAGAACTTTCTGAATCCATTATGTGATGCCCTTAATCTGTTATTTGAAACCACCGAAACATCAGAATTGGATGAATGGGATCAGATATGTAATGTTTCAACTATTGATATGGTCTACCTGTGTCCCTTCAAATCTAGGAGTGTTACCAAATATCATCAATGGTTGTGCCTCTAGTAACTGAAGAGAACTATTTGAAGCCTATCATCAATGGCAGTGTAATCGCAAGTAACTAGCAGAAGGTCAGCCGGAAGAAATTCGACTCCATGGTGCCTCTAGAAGCCCAGATGATTTGTGGCCGCTAACTCTAGTAGACAGGATCATCTTTTCTTGGGTTGTTTTCTGGCAAAGGCTCTTTGGTGGGGATTATTTGTTGTTTTTTGTACTGTTTCACCTCTAAGTGTTGCGAACTTTTTTTGAAAGTTGGTGTAAACAGGAGAAAAGAAAATAGATTATTTTTACTAACAAGGGCAGCAACCTTGTGTTGGTCTATAAGGTGTAAGGGTCACCAACAAATACATAGTTTCAAGTCACTTTAACTTTTAATCCAACATTGATTTGATACTTGGCATTACATAACTCATCATGGCTTGATTAGTCCCTTAGATCGACACATGTACTTGCTTCTTCACCTTAGCCATGGTACCATGGCCGCCAAGCCATCACTTCCTTTCACCTTCGCATAGTTTCTCGAAGCAATTTCCTTATGACCTTCACCTTATCTAGACATCCTCAAGTAAAACCTTGCTTGTATCAACAATATGCCCTTCATTTGAAATCCATTTCTTATTTTGACCAATATGAAATCCATCGTCAATACTTTTGATTTAATTGGCAGGTAATACATGTGAAACCAACTCATATGCCGCTAATCATGTCTCTTTATCTCTTTTCATATATACTTGCCATCTTGATCAATTTTGTCGTTCCACTTCTCATATCCCACAATATAAACAACCTTCAAACGCAAGACTAATTAATATGCACCTATCCATGCCTTATTTTGTCGTTGCCAACCTTGGTTGCCATTTCTTCATTTATACAATCTTGACTCATACTTTAATCTTGATCAATACTATGAACTATTGATATATTCTCATTTATGGAAGCAAGCCACCATTGAGGCCAAAGACCAAAGACCAAATCATACTCATTTTTCCTTTGTCTCTTTTGCTTAACCAATTTGCCTGTCTTTTTTCAATTTGAGATATGGCATGAGTTTAACATCACCATTTGCAACGAGATATACCCAATCTCATCAACTCATTAGTCTTTTAATTATTTTATCATTCAACCACTAAAATCCACTAGGGAGCCTAGATGCACTATCAGTAATGATGAGCTACACCTTTGGGGTTTGGCTAGGGCGCAAGGTGTCGGGGACCAATACTAGGGTACCCGAAGAGGAGCTAATGGTCATCAACATTGATTCATCCGAGCAGTCAAGAGCGTGACTACAGCTCCAAACGACCCCTAGGTGTGTGGGCTTCGCCTCGCCCAACCTCTGGGGGCGGGCTCTGCCTCGCCCGATCTCGGGGTCGGGAGCTCCATCTCGTCCGACCCCAAGGCCGCGGGCTACGCCTCGCCCGACCCCGAGGCCGTGGGCTCCGTATCGCCCGACCCAAAGGTCGTGGGCTCCGCCTCGCTCGACCCCGAGGCCACGCGCTCCGCCTCGTCCGACCCTTGGGTTTGTGCTCCATCTCGCCCGACCCCTTGGGTGCGGGCTCCGTCTCACCCGACGGGGACCCATGCCGCCACCAACCACTCCAGGTCCAAGCGTATGGGCCTGGGTCAAAACTCTGACACCAAGGAAGAGACCGACACGCCCCAATGTAACATGTGGCCATGACGGGCCATACTTGAGGATTCACATCAAGAACAGCATCGGACATGCCGGTGCTATTCTGCCTAACCCTCATACGAACACTAACAGACGCGTCAGTTCACCACGACGCCCGCCGGGACAGAATGGGACGCCATGACCGGCAGATGATGCCTACGCATGGCGCCAGTGATGAACAGGGCCGCGACGTGGAGCCGTCCCTGTTGATATCTACAGGATCGACGGGACCCGCATGAAGGAAGAAAAGGACCTGGCGATCCTGGGAGCCTTCCTCTCTCTGGTTCTTTGCCTTTTCCACCGCTGTAACCCACACTTTCCCTTGGCCTATAAAAGAGAAAGCAGGGCGCCCCAAGAAGGGGGGACCCGATCGATCCAGAGTCGCACAAAACTAAACCACGAGATAAAAACACAAGAGCACGACACGAACACACGGCTGAGCAGCGATCGAGCTCTCAGCACCCGTTCACTCATTCCACCAGAGACTTGGGATCCTTTCCCTCTCTCGCCTGTTTGTAACCCCTATTACAAAATTTTAGTGCTAGTAACACGAGCAGCAGCGACGAACTGGACGTAGGGACTTTCTGCCCGAACCAGTATAAACCTCGTGTCCTCTAAGTACACCATTTGAGCCAGACGCGCAAATATAAATTTACTCATTGGTAACTCGAAACACCGACAGTTGGCGCGCCAGGTAGGGGCCTTTTGCACGTCTTGACGTCCACACCAGGTCTCGGATGGCTAGTCACAGCGTCAGCTGGGTCCCGGGCGTGCACGTGTGCTTTAGGAACCTGGACTTCATCGTCACGACGGAGGGAGAGTTGGCGCAGGCTCCCGCCGCCGTCCAACCTCTCCACTCCGCCAGCCTCGACGCGATCATCGAGGCGCTTGAGGAGCTACAGCTACACGCACCGGAGGCCCGTGCCCCGGGGAGCGACCAGCTCCTCAGCTTCGATTATGGGAGGCTAGAGCGCTAGCTCGGCGCCTTCCTAGGACCCTGACCGTCCTGGGAGGACCTACGCCACCTCAGCATCTCGTTCGCCAACGCCATGACGTAGCTTGCCGGAGGAGAGCCATTCTCCCAGAATACCTTGTCCAGAGCACCGCAACGACGCTCCCGTCTGGTCTACGCAACACCATAGAGACCGTTGGCCACCTTGTGGCGCAACGCACTCCCCCATTCCCTACGAACGACGAGTTCATGGGAATGACCGAATATGTCGTGGAATCTTTCCACGACCTCCTCGTAGGAGAATCAGAGTCGCCCTCCAGCTCTGACTCCAGCAGGGGTAGCTATCACCCCTCTCGTGAATGTTTCATGGCAGGTACCCCCGAGGGACACGTTGAAAGCATCCACGAGGGAGAGTCTACCCCAATGAACGACTTGGATGACGAGGTCGAGAGGGATGCAGGGCCCCTACCTCGCCTATGGGTAGAGCAACTAAAGGCCTAGCACCAAGAGCTCAAGGAAGCATGACTCCAGCTCGAGCAGGAACGCGTGGAGCTCGAGCGAGAGATCGAGCACCATGGAGACAGTGGGCGTGCACGCGTCGTGGCTCGTGACGTGAATCGAAGGATCATCGAGAACGATGAAGCCCTTCCACACTTCACCCGAGCAAGCCAGAACATCGCCGCCACAATGGCCTTGCTCTAGGGGCTTCCGAGGCCCACGATGCTCGAGGATCATTGGGCCCATCACAAGATTCGCACACTACTCGAGCATGCGGCGGCGCAGCAGGCCGAGAGCTCACTGTGTCGACGACGAGAGCTCGATGCCAGCTTGCGCGCTCCCTTAGAGCAACCCAACAGGGACGTGTCAGTCCACTAGGCGCAGCAAGGAGGCAGGCCACGCACTGCGGTCCTGGTGCATGAGCATCTCGACCTCCACCGTGACACGCGCGACACCCTCAACGCCCACAGGCGTACCCGTGGCGATGTGAGGGAGGAGGCTAGCTGCGGCTACCACCCTTGTCATGGCGGATGCTACGACAGTGGCGAGGATCAAAGCCTGAGCCCCGAGCCCTGACTTGCCGAGACCTTAGGCTTTTGCCCGACACATCCTCAACGCCGCCTTCCCACCGCGGTACCGACCGCCGACCAACATCTTGAAATACTATGGGGAAATGAACCCCGGACTGTGGCTCGAGGATTATCG